TAGGTTTCTCCAAACCGACGATTTCTCCAAAGTAGAAGACTGAAAGAACAGTACCCAGGTCTTCACTAATAGTACTTTATAAGGTAAAGTTCATTATTAATTAACTTGTTTTTCCCCTTATTTTCTACAGTTTTACAGATGTGCTCGATGCGGCTCTTCCTGGAAAATCATGAGAATTTCTTGAAAACTGCTACCGGTGAGCTGAATAAGCATTTACCGGATGATGTCCGCGTCTTAGGTGTCAGGTATGTTACGATAGGAAGCATTATTTACTTATCAAACAGCATATTTTCATGCCATAAGTTTCGCTTAAGGGAATAACATAGAACGGGGATAATGCATTTTTTCACAGGGTTTTTGAACGAGAGCTCGAAACTATTAATGGCATCGACAGAATTCATTAAAAATTATCCAGAACGACTCCTCTAAGCAAATCATTTCATATTTCTATGTTTTTTATGCTGTGCACAGCTGCACGAGATGTGTATACATTGTCACGGACTTGTCTGTGTTGTATGTGTGTATGTATGTGTGTGTGTGCATGTATGTGTCCGAGTGCATTTTGTCCGCAGCTTTCAATTCGAGAGCCACAAAAGCTAGGAAGCTGAAAATTTGAGAGAGTGTTCCTCGCCCAAGTATAACCCTGCGAAATTTTTTGCGGCAAAAATTACTGTCTCGGGAGTCGACAGAGCTAGAGAGCTGAGAATTTTAGGTGGATGTTTTCTGCTTATGCAGGGGCCTCAGAAACTCAAATATAGTATACCGAGATCTCACGTACGACCACGTAAAGGTTTCTGCGAGAAAATCACTTGAAAGGCGGAAAATTAGGAGGTTGATGTTCTGGGAGGGTGTTTTCATCACCCAACATTTCAAGTTCGCTTTTCATCTCTTTTTTTCATTGTCCTTCTTTTCATGACATACATCTATTTTGCGATGTATTTTACACCAGAAATTGTCCAGAATTCGTCGATGGTTAAGCGCTGCAACCAGTTGACATCTAAAATTCGTTTGATTTGTACTCAGTTGGCATTTGAGGAAAATATTGCTAATATTTTTGGGTTTTTTTAGACGTGCAATTCGTACTTTTACGGCACACAGGGATTGTGATAAACGAACCTATTCATATACTTTGCCAACATTTGCCTTTGCTAGACCAGATGAGGTATGATTTTTTTCTCTTTTTTCTGTTTTTTTCCTCATTTTTATTTTTTTCATTTGTTTTTCTCCCTTCTTATGACAAAAAGAATGCAAAACAAGGAAGTGAACTGAAGAAATATTGGCGATATTTGACGAAGTGCTTGAAAAAAAAGTGGTTAATGAGGCCATGTGAAGAAAAAAAAAACAACTTGTTTAATTGTTGTTTTTAGCAGTTTAATATGTTACCCTATATGACAGATATGTTTTTTTTAGTTAACAACCAGTAAATATCGCATCAGCGAAATCTCGATTGCTGATTTGAATGATGTGCTTGCAATGTACAAAGGCACTCATAACTTCTTCAATTACACTTCTGGGAAGTTAGTCAGTTTTTACAGAACTTTATCCTGAAGAAATTCGCAAATTTGAAACACGAAATTGTCTTAAAAGCTGAAAAAATATTACTTTGTCTATTTTTCGGTTTTTTTTTTTCGTAATTCCTCTTTTCATCCTTCCCCCTTACACTTTTGCTTTATCGCCCACATAATCAGTTTCAACCCACTTGAATAATGCTAGGATCAACAAAAGGTTGGGGTGGTATGTGTAACTGAGAAGTGTGGATTTCCCGGGAAGGCGCTTTCGAGAACGGCGCAAGCTAGGAAGCAAGAACTTCACAGAGATGTTCCTTGGCCGCATCTAATCTAACATCTGCTTATTTTGCAGTTTAGACTTGAATCGTTTCAGCCGGCAACTTCTCGGCAGATTCTAAT